TTGAGTGGCTTTTGCTAGACACATTAGTGTTAAAATCTAATACTTCATTTTCTTTTCCCCATTGTCAAATGAGTTGGACTGTATGCATACTAACTGAAAATAATTGAGCCACCTCAAATGTAGTGTTTTTCTTCAATTGTCCATTGACACTTTGCTTCAACAGAGATTCAAAAATAGCCTGCCTTTATTCATTTGTGATGTTTTTCTAGCTCACATGTGTATTAACTTCCTCAGCTATGTCATCAACTTCATTCGTAGCTTCTAATGCTGGACGAAAATTCTAATCTATTTCCCGAAGCACATATCTTTCATTATGACATCATTTAGCCATGGTGAGTAGTGAAAAGACAGAGATGGAAGAGTAATACACTTTTACATAGGCCAGAAAACCAAAAATTATCCCACCACACTTTGAGAGCGAAGAGTAAATAAGAGATGGAGTAGGAGCAGGGGCGGATCCAACCCCTCTAGGCCTACCCTCATAGTTAACAAAAAAATTAATAATATATAGATCCACAAAAAATTGTTATTAATATATATACCCAAGCTCACCCGTAGGGTTTAAAAAAATAAGAATTATCATATATATATTTAGGCCTACAAAAAACTTGCTATTAATATATATATTTCAAGCCCATATCATATTAAAAATTTAAAAGTCTCTCCAATCTTTTTCTCCACGGCTTTGCCTGCTTTTTATGATTTTATCCCTAAAATTCTTTACTCTCTCATTCTCTTTCTCATGCTATTCGCTCTTAAAACTTTTAAATACTGAAATTGTTGAAGCTTTCACTACTCAAGGTGTCACAATTAGCTTTATTTTCTATTTTATAAGTTTTAAGTATGTGTATTGTTCATTTCAATTTATTTTATTTATTTTAAGTTTTTTTTTTTTTTTTTTGGAGGTTTTTTATTCTAATTTGAGGGAAAGAGACATGGATATTGTAAGTTTATTTTGTGTTTAAAAATAAACCTGCTTTTCCAAATTAAAACCTTAACTATATTTTAAAGGACGCTATTCTTCACCATTTATCCACTACTTTCCTAATTTCAAACGTCACCGTTCAGCTGCTCAAAATTTTTAAATAAATTTGAGTTACTATATATGTTTATACTAAGAAATTCTCCCCCTTTTTTTTTATTAATTTATATTAAAAGTCAAGGTAATTTTAACTTGATTTAAGTTTTGGTTGACTTTAGCTTAGGTTATGTCTGATCAAAGTCAAAATTTATATTATAATATTTGAAAGCTAAAAAAATAATAATAAAAAAATAAAAGAAGGTTTTGGTCCATATATACTCAACACATTTTCTCAAAAATTTACTTCTTATATATTTATTCAAGTAGAAAAGTATTATGTTATTATATTCTTTTTTCTTAAGTTCTTAATATTGTATTATTTTCTTTGCTTAACATTTGATAATTTTTTATAATTTTTATTAATTATTTGGTAAACAACGGTAGAACTACGGAGACTTTCCTGGACCCGTCAATAAGTAGGAGAGATAAAATTTGTTTACATTAAAAAAAAAAAAAAAATTAGTATATTAAAAAGTGTGTAATTGCAAAAATGACATATATTTTGGAAGGGAGGGAGTATCTATAAGCTGTAGATTCTGTTGTCCTTAAAAGTTAAATGCATGCTTTATGTCCAGTCTTAAATACGTCATTGCATACATAAAAAAGTAAACTTGTTACGTTGACATTTTGTCAGTTCTGATTTGATGTGATATGAACAAAAATTACGCTGTTGGGATTTTTCGCACGAAACTCTCGTTGGTTTCGGAAATTGGACCCGTTCTGTTAAAATTTTCTGAAACAAAGTATTATTGATATTTGATCAATAAAGAAGGGTAATTTTGACCTTTCAATTTAATTGAACATTAAAGTTAAATTTTCTTTTCCCCCTCACGTTATTCTTCTTCCTTTCCTTTCTCAACTTCATTAATAGAATATAACTAGAGTAATTCTGAGTTGACATCTGTCTGACAATCTTCTCTCATAGTTTTTAATATAATAATTTGTTATTAGTTAACTCACAAAATAAATCATACTTACTCATTTATAAACTAGCTAATAACGAACTGTCACATCAGAGATTATAAGATTAAATTATGGACTTAATATTACTCAAACATCATTTTTACGTTTAATAGGGTTTTCTTAACAGATTCCGAAACCAATGGGGGTTTTGGTAAATATCCCTTCTAATAGTGCTCATTAATTTAGGTTTTGATAATTAGCATATAAAAACAATTAATAATTAATGCTTATCTCCTTGATTATCCGTTTCATGTATCAGTATGTTAATGAATTTGACACCTTTTGCGATAATTAAGATTTAATGCACTTTGATTTGGTCCAAAAGGCATTTTAATAAACACAAGAAAATAATTTTTATAAATTTGTAATACCTACCACCATCAGAATATCTTTGAGATGTTCGCGTACACACACCGAAACCTTCCTCATATTTGAGTAACACAAGAATTTCATTAAAATCTAGTAATTACATTTACATTTACATGCATAATAATCTAATAATCATTTAGTTTATTTTAATAATTAATTGATAAGATCTTTCTCCGACATTATATACATCACATAAGAAGATTATGCCTTTTTTTGTTAACCAAGAAAGACCCACATCTTTTTCAACTCTACATATACAATTAATTTGACAGTGTACTTTAAAAAGTTTAAAACATTTTTTTAAGTGAATTTGATGGTAGTGCTTTGGAGAAATAACAAATAATTTTTGTGCTTTAATCATGTTAAAGTGTGAACTTATTTTTAGAGAATAAATTTTGTAGCTATAATTTTTTGTAAAACACGTGTGGTTTGAGATGTTCAGTGTTTATTATTCACCAACTCTTTTAATTGCATTAATCATATTGAATTATGGAGAATTGTCGAAACATTAAAAGACAAAAATGTCGCCTTCGTAAATTTTAATGGTCAAATCAATAACTTTTCTGGTTTTTTGGTTTAATTACCATCCGAATATCAAGGATATAGCTGATTACAATAAATTGTATTAATATATTTAGTTGTGGGAAATAAATTAATGTATATGTTATATAATCAATTAAATTATTTTTTTATTAAATATTATTATTTAGACTAATATAACTTTTGCGTTTAAAAACTTAGTAAAAATATTCTCAAAATAAAAATTTAAAAAATCAATGAATGTACCCCCACCAACCCAATCACTATTAGCCATCGGTATCCACCTTTGGCCACCAGCAACCCAATGGTACATGATCGACCGAAAATAGCCTTCGTGTGCCAATCTGACTGTTAACAGTCAAATCTATCTATTTGACTATTTCTGACCAGATTTACGACCATATGACCATTTCAACCATCAATATGGTCGAAAACGATCATATCGGAGACTCTCAACGTCTTCTGGTAGTGGTTGGCCAACTGCTTGCAATGGTGACTGAGTGGAGGTGGTGGTCTACAATATGTTTTAAATATAAATGCATTATTATCAAAAAACTTAATTAAACAGGGATAAAATTATAATAACAGATTAATGTAAATTATTTTAAAAACAAGGGTATTATTTTTCAAAATTTTTATTAATAAGATGTAAAATTGTAACAAAAATAAAATTACTAAGTAATCTTAAAATACTTCAAAAAATGGAGATATATTACCAACGATAATTATTATTGGTTTTCAAAGATTATCAAAATTTTATATTACTTGACAAATAAACGTAATGATCAAGTAATATAAGATACATTAATTCAATAATCCAACATTACCTCCAACTAAGCAAGCACACCCTAAATTGATAATTAAAAATCGCAATTTATTTATTTATTCTTCAAGAAATAGATAAAAGAAAATAAAAGAATATTAACACTCGTTCTCTGTTATCCAGGTCACATATATACATATTAATTAATAAAGATTAAATATAATTAATTACTAATGACGATGTACTTTGTTCTAATTATTGAGGTATGAAGACAAGATTGTTCTGAGAAAAACGCAAGGCCGGCACCACATGTAGTAAAATAATATAGAATAATTAATCCACATGGTCATGCCTGAGAGACTTATATTTTGTCCCCACTTCATTACACCAACACTCTAGTAAGGAAAATAATAAAAACATCATAGAGTATGACACTAAAATTGTATACCGAATAACGTAGCTTAATTATAACTATCAATTAATTATAACTTAATATTAATCGACAGTTAAGATTATATTATGTCTTTCAATACATAAATTCAATATACTATTCTCGGTGTCTATAGCATTACTCCTCCAATAATGGAAATATAGCAGTAACACCGCTTGTAAAATTAAATAATACTTTACACAAATTCTAGCGACCTTTTTTTTTTTTCAATAACATCAAAAATCTTATAAATAAGTACTAAATTTATTGACCTTCTCCACATCTTACCTAACTATATATCACCTTCCCTGTATTGGAAATTGAGTAATACTAGGTCTATAATTTTCTCTCATAATTCGTGATAGTCTATCATTGGTCAGCTCGTAAAATAGGTCTCATCAGTCCATTTGCGAAATAACCAATGATGTATTGTCATGTTAGAGGTTGTGGGAGAAAGTTGTAAACCTAATATTACTTATTAGAAATAATAAGAAACTTCCAAGATGGATCCAGAATAAATAACTAATAACTAATAATTAAATTTTTAATGATTTATTATGAAATTTAATATTTATCCACTCTTTTATAAATAAATTATTAAAATTTATTGAAGAAATATAGAGATTAAAAAACATGTTTAAGATTTAAAATTTGCATCAAAAAATTAAATTACATCACCTTATCATATTTCACAAAAGCAAGCAGAAAATACTAATACTAGAACGAATATCCTTTAATTTCTTATATTAAAATACAACAGTCAGTCATATCGAATCTCCACCGTCCACGTATATCGTCAGACACTTCTCCAACAGCTCATCAACACTTTCACTTGCACTTGCCTTGTTCATTCCTTCATTCCTTCATTCATTTTTCTTGTACTCTGTCAAACTCCCACACTCGAAACCGACCAAAATGCAGTACAAGAACCTCGGCCGATCGGGGCTCAAAGTGAGTCAACTCGCCTACGGATCATGGGTGAGCTTCGGCAACCAGCTCGATGTCAAGGAAGCAAAGTCGATCCTGCAGTGTTGCCGGGACCACGGCGTCAACTTTTTCGACAATGCCGAGGTCTACGCCAACGGCCGTGCCGAGGAAATTATGGGACAGGCTATCCGTGAACTGGGTTGGAAGCGTTCTGATATCGTTGTTTCCACCAAGATCTTCTGGGGTGGACCGGGCCCCAACGATAAGGGTCTCTCCAGGAAGCATATTGTTGAGGGCACCAAAGCTTCCTTGAAACGCCTTGATATGGATTATGTCGATGTTATTTATTGTCACAGGTTGAATTTTTTTCTCTTTTGGTTGACTTTTATGAAGAAAGTTTACGTCTTTTTTTTGTGAATTGATTGATTGCGGGTTTGATTTTTGTGTTGATTGCTGGTGATTTGTTGTTTCCTATGGGGGAGGGTGAATGTGGACTAGTTGAATTCTGATTTTTTTCCTCTGCCATTGATTTTTTTTTTTTTTAATGTTTTTTTTTATTTTGCTTGATGGGTTGAGTAATTTTCTGTGGATGAGGGTTTTTGAATAGATTTATTTGATTTACTGTGATAGGCCAGACACATCAACGCCGACTGAAGAAACAGTCAGGGCGATGAATTATGTGATTGATAAGGGATGGGCATTTTACTGGGGGACAAGTGAGTGGTCTGCACAACAGATCACTGAGGCTTGGGGAATAGCGGAGAGGTTGGATTTGGTTGGGCCAATAGTTGAACAACCTGAGTATAATTTGTTGTCCAGGCACAAGGTGAGTGGTTTCTATGCGCGCCCAGAATTATCTATGAATTGAATTCTTGTTATTGGTACAGTTTCTAGTTTTATTAATAATTTGTCTTTACATGACATGAATTGACTTCATTTTGGACGGGTTATGGTAGTTTAGAGATATGGTTTTGTAGCTTTGAGAATATCATTGTTATAGTGTTTGTGGTATGAGAAATCAAATATTGATGTAGACCATAGCTTTTCAACAGTTTCAGAAAATTAAATATGAGAAATCAAATACGACTTTATAGCTAAATTTTGGATTTCATTCAATGTTTTTGATTCTCCTGGATGGTTTTTGTGCTTTTTGTGACATCTGGTTGATTGAATGATTGTAAGTACTATTATCTTATTATCTTTAATTTAATGTATTTCTGTTTTTATTTACTGCTGATACAGGGAGTGTTAGTGTGCCTTTCATGAGTCACCGGCTGCACTAGATTTCCTTTTTAGTCTGCTTTTCTACATTCTTGGGTGAATTGGATGACATTATAGGAAGGATCAATTCTCACTTATTCTTTGATCTACCTTGTATCTGCAAGTTTGATCATTCAAATGCTAATGGCTTATATTAAATATGTTAAGTAAAGTTGTAAAAAAGCATTTGCAGTAATAGCTTACAATGAGATGAATTTAATTTGGCCCCATGTGTGTATGCTTGTGTTTGCCTTATTTTTTTTTTTAAATTAAAAAATGAACTCTGGGCTTTCAATAATGATCTCATCTTGTGTTATTAATGCAGGTTGAATCCGAGTACCTTCCCATCTACAACAACTATGGCATAGGTCTTTCTACATGGAGTCCACTTGCATCTGGGGTGCTCACTGGAAAGTACAATAAGGGAACTATACCACCTGACAGTCGGTTCGCATTGGAAAATTACAAAGTAAGTTAATTGGATTTGGAAGACACTTTGTATGCTATAGCCCAAAGACTCTGCTCTTACTAACATAAAAGTCTTGACTTGTTTAAATTCAAAATTGACTTTTCCATTTTTCTAGTTAGTGGTGTGTTCCTGTGTATTGACCGTTGAAACTTCACACTTCTTGTTGTGTAATTATTTGGATTTCCTTTTTTTGTCATTTGCAAAACTTCTGTGATAATATATAGGTGTAGCTAATTCGTTGCCTGAAAAAGATACTGTCTACTATTGTCTAATAGCATGAATTAAATTGGAAAATTTTTGCTTGATCATCAAGTGAATCTCTGTCATAGATTTTTCATGTGTGCAGCATGTCTGTAGTTTCATGTTTGTGCTAGTATTATTTTTAAAATATTAGAATTGATTAAATGTTTCAATATTTGATCATAAAGCTAATTCAACACATGAAATAATACAGTGCAGTTGAATAACTTGGGAATCTCTAAATATCTCTTGCATCTGATTAGTGTATATCTGTTTTTAACCTCTTCTTTTGTGGTTGAAAAGCTAAAGTGTTGTTTTAAATGCCTTCTAGAATCTCGCAAACCGATCATTGGTTGATGATGTGCTGAAGAAAGTTAACGGGCTGAAGCCAATTGCTGATGAGCTAGGCATATCCTTAGCTCAACTTGGAATTGCATGGTGTGCAACAAATCCTCATGTGTCTTCAGTTATTACTGGTGCCACCAAGGAATCTCAGGTTATTGTTGAACATATAACTTTGAAACATATTTGTGTAACCAAATTTCGGCTGGAGCTGCTACCCCTATTACATGCTTGTTTATAATATGGATTTGATGTGCTGTCTTTGTAAGGTTTAACTGGACTGTGGTCTCTGTTGTTTGTTCTGGATCCTAAATGTTTCCTTCCTCTATGCAGATTCAAGAGAACATGAAAGCCATCAATGCCATTCCATTGTTGACCCCTGCGGTGTTGGAGAAGATTGAGAATGTTGTTCAAAGCAAACCAAAGCGTCCAGATTCATATAGGTAGATGCAGAATATTTATCAGCTCCTTTGTATTACTGGGTGCTTTTTAGGATGCTTCATTGTTTTAGTGTACCTGATGCACGTATGTCTTGTTTTGTTATCACCACGTGCGTCTGATTTTTTAGTTACTCTTTCTCTGCTTTTGACTTTGGAGATTTTCGGATATGATATCTTGAAAGAAAAAAAAAGAAATCATATACTCTATATGGTTTGAACTTTGAACTAATTATTATCACATGGTTGCTTTAGACGTTTAATTTGAATTGTTTTAAGTGATAATTGCCGTTGTCTGTCTTGAATATATTTCTGGGTCAGTCCTTACTGAAGTGAAGGATTCCCTGTAGACCTTTCTCACTTCTGAAAACTGTCATCATCCACACCTTAACAATGAGGCTTGATGAATATGTGATTGTTATAGCATGACCAAAAGTTGAAAAAGTCCACTTTAACATGTTATTACTGTATAAATGATGTTGTAATCTTCTGAAGAATGCAAGTAGAGGTGGGAAAGGTCCTGGCCCAGTCGGTCCTGGGCCCTCAAGGTCCGGGCCCAGTCGGTCTTGGGCCTGGGCCCTCAAGGTTTGGGCCCATTTTCGTCTGTCCTTAAAGGCCCGGGCCTAAATAATCGGGGACTGGTCCGGTCATGGGCCCATAGGACAAATTTTTGGGTAAAATTTTATTTTAATTCTTATATTTATTGTGAATTTCATATTAAATAGGGGGATTTTGGATAATTTACAGGGGCTAAGGAAATTAAGGAGAGGGGTTTGGGCCCAGGCCCTCTCCCTTGGGCCTGGTCTGGTCTTAGGACTGGTTTTTTGGACTGAGCTTTTTGGGTCCGGGCCTAATTCCCACCTTAAGTGCAAGGATAAAACTTCTGAGTTGTGATATGAAAACCAATTTGATCCTTGCATTTGGCCCATCTTACAGTTGGTGATTTTAATTTCTTGATTATGAATTATCATTGGTGGTGAACTAAAGATGTAGGGGTTCTTTTTTCTAATAACTGTACGGTATGACGCCGTACCTAAACGTTTGTCTATTTGTTTTTTAATTTTTTTTCAAAATATCCCCTAATATTATCAAAAGTCCCCCTGAAAAAAACTGAAAACCCAAACTGTACCGTATCATATTTTTTTGTTATGGTTTGGTTATATTACCTACATGGTTTGGTTATATTACTTACATGGTATGGTACAGTTTTGTTTACAATTTATTTTTTAGAGTAATACGTGGTTTGATTCAGCCAAAAAATCAAACTGTGTCGCATTTGTTTATTTTAAGGTCGTACTAAATTCCTGAAACATTATTCTCGCAACTATTCACAAGACAGCAATCGTACTAAATGTCTGAAAGATTATTGGTCACAACTATTCGCAAGCCAGCAATGATTCGGTTTTAATTTGCCCACAATTTAAACTGTTGTAACAGAAACACTGTTAATTCGGTGGCTCAAAGCATCTAAACTGTTGTTATGTTAAAACTTAAAACATGGCACAGAGCTTCTAAGTTATTTGTATGTTCCTCCCATCTTTATCTGATTCACATGAATTGCAATTTTACCAACAATTTCAGTTCCACCTTCGTAACATAATATTGACGTCAATCGTAATGTTTGAAACTGCAGCATTTTTTTAATCGTTTGCCACTGCGGCAAAGCCCACCATTTTTTATTTTTCACAAACGCTTATTTCTCACCCAAATAATGTTTAATGACACGTTTCATCTAATACCTTATACAAATCAAATTTATATTATATTTTCGATTCTACATGTTGCGACCCCATACCACACATCATCTTCTCCGACATCACTCACCAAAACCCATTAAACTTACTTCTGCCGACCCGCCATTGTCAGCAATCAGCAATTAAGGTTTGCGCAACCACCACCTCAAGTCAATTCTGATTAATCATAACCCACAAAATTTAACATTCCACCAAAAGACTCATCAGTCTCCATTCTTCTCAAAAGCCTCAACAGTCTGGACAAAGTTTGTTTTTGTTTGCTGTCGAAATATAATTGGTGATAATAGCTGCTTTAAAAGTTTATAGGTAAGTGTTATAAACCTATTTTGGGTGGGAAAAAGATTAACTCTTTTTCACTAATACATTTTCTGGAAATTAAGAGTTGATAAAGTGGAACATCAAATGCCATTTTTTTATTTCTTGAGCTCATCTTTAGACCATAAATTGAATGAACTTCGGTCAATGATACTTTCGTTACAAGGAGGTTAAAACAAGGACAATTTAAGAATAAAATTAGGGACAGGGCAGATCATCACTTTTTTTTTTTTTTTTTAAACAGAAATTATTATTATTAAGACTTATTATTTATGGGAAGTGATTTTCCCATCCCCACTATTATTAGTAGCCCCCAATTTAAGGATAAAATTGTATTAAAATAAATTTTAAAAAAGAAGCATAAGAAGGAACCAAAAATGGACACAAAACGCAATCGGATCAACAAGTAATTAAAGAAGAAGAAGAAAACACTTATGGGTCTAAGAAGAAGAAAAAGAAGACATATCATAAGGAAGATAAAAAATGTGAAACAAATGAAGCAAAAAACCCTAAAACAATGAAGTGAAAACTCCAAAATATTTGCAGCATGAAGCTTATAATTTGTATAAATTCTATTACGAGCAGGGCGGACCCAACCCTTTTGAGGGTAGGCCTCAAATTTATTTAAAAAAAAAAACAATTTAATCTATGGAAAAGTCTTCTTTAGAACCTCTCTTTATGCTTTGGGATTCTACCTATCTTATTAATTTGACATTTCTATCCTCTCATTTTCTCTTAATTTAGTCCCTATAATATATCACATAAATCACTATTAACTGTGATTTTTAATTCTATGACCTAACCTTAGTACTGTTATTTCATTTGTATTTACCTTTCTGTCTTTCATCCCTCTATCTAATTAATTACTTAACAGATGTCAATTCCCTCTATTAGTAAAAGATTCTATGCAGTAACTTATACCCATTTTTAATAGAAATAAAAGTTAATAATTTATATAATTATAAACTAATAATCTACTTAATAATTATCATTATTTTCCTTGATTTTAATAAATTTTGAATGATTATGTTATACTCTTTTTTTAAATCAATCATTTAACTAATGACAATAACATGACATAATTAAACAAAATAATCAGATTATAATTCAATTCGAGTTATCTATTGAACTTTGATCATGACAATCTAATGTTAAGAGTAAGCATAATTGTTTACTAGTTAATTTTTTAAAGGACTTAATCATATAAAACATTACTTTAAAAGTGCATACAACTCAACTCATTTTTCCATTCGGCCTTCACTTCTTCCCTTCTAATTTCATACACCAATAACATTAAGAGAAAAATTTGAATTGAAAGCAAACTAGGTCAAGATTTAGGGTTTAAGTTTAGGTTTTTTCCTCTCTTCACATTAAAGAGGTTTTTCTACATAAAAATTTTCTTGTGTTTTCTTTGATTTGGATGTTATTTTCAACACATTTACTCAAAGTTTTGCTTCTCATAGAATTATTCAAGTAGAAAAGTATTATGTTATTGTATTCTTTCTTTTCAGTTTCTTGATATTGTATTATTTCCTTTGTTTAAGGTTTAGTGGTTTTTTAAAAGTTTTTACTAGTTTATTGGCAAACAATGGCAAAATTGCGGAGACCCCTCTTGGGTAAAAATCCTAGGTCCACCACTGATTACAAGGTAGAACACAGATTCTGCAAATAAAAAGCAACCTCGCAAACACTTGTACGTACTAATTCTGAGGTCTCTAAATCTCTTTCATTTTTACTTGCACCGTGCCCAGCAGTGGCTTGGCTGATCGCTGACACCAAGTTTTTAATAAGAAATATACATAAATATCCAATTTTCACACAAGTTTAATTATTAACCACGTACAGAAGCATACCTATTGATCTAAGCCAAGGCATTGCTAATCATATGAGCGGATTCGAAAACTGGTGGTGAGTAGAAAGGGTGTGGAAGAAGCCAAAGAGTCTTTGAAATCCTCGTAAATTTACAATTTCATCTTACNACCATTTTTTATTTTTCACTAAACGACTTATTCTCAACCCAAATAATGGTTTAATGATACCTTTTCATCTAAATACCATTATACTAATCAAATTTATATTATATTTTCGATTCTAGCATTGTTGCGACCCCATACCACCATCATTTTCTTCTCCGATCATCACTCACCAAAACCCATTAAACTTACTTCTGCCGACCCAGCCAATTGTCAGCAATCTAGCAATTAAGGTTTGCGCAACCACCACACTCAAGTCAAATTCTGATTAATCATAACCACCAAAATTTAACATTCCACCACCAAAAGACTCATCAGTCTCCATTCTTCAAAAGCCTCAACAGTCTGGACAAAGTTTGTTTTTTGTTTGCTGTCGAAATATAAATTTGGATAATAAAGCTATGCTTTAAAAGTTTATAGGTAAAGTGTTATTAAACCATTATTTGGGTGGGAAAAAGTGATTAACTCTTTTTCACTAATACTAGTTTCTGGAAATTAAGAGTTGATAAAGTGGAAAACATCAAATGCCATTTTTTTATTTCTTGAGCTCATCTTTAGACCATAAATTGAATGAACTTCGGTCAAGTGATACTTTCGTTTACAAGGAGGTTAAAACAAGGACAATTTAAGAATAAAATTAGGGACAGGGCAGATCATCACTTTTTTTTTTTTTTTTTTAAACAGAAATTATTATTATTAAGACTTATTATTTATGGGAAGTGATTTTCCCATCCCCACTATTATTAGTAGCCCCCAATTTAAGGATAAAATTGTATTAAAATAAATTTTAAAAAAGAAGCATAAGAAGGAACCAAAAATGGACACAAAACGCAATCGGATCAACAAGTAATTAAAGAAGAAGAAGAAAACACTTATGGGTCTAAGAAGAAGAAAAAGAAGACATATCATAAGGAAGATAAAAAATGTGAAACAAATGAAGCAAAAAACCCTAAAACAATGAAGTGAAAACTCCAAAATATTTGTAGCATGAAGCTTATAATTTGTATAAATTCTATTACAAGCAGGGGCGGACCCAACCCCTTTGAGTGTAGGCCTCAAATTTATTTTAAAAAAAAAAACAATTTAATCTATGGAAAAGTTTTCTTTAGAATCTCTCTTTATGCTTTGGGATTCTACCTATCTTATTAATTTGGCATTTCTATCCTCTCATTTTCTCTCAATTTAATCCATATAATATATCACATAAATCACTATTAACTGTGATTTTTAATTCTATGACCTAACCTCAGTACTGTCATTTCATTTGTATTTACCTTTATGTCTTTCATCCCTCTACGTAATTAATTACTTAACACGCGTCAATTCTCTCTATTAGTAAAAGATTCTATGCTGTAACTTATACCTATTTTTAATAGAAATAAAAGTTAATAATTTATATAATTATAAACTAATAATCTACTTAATAATTATCATTATTTTCCTTGATTTTAATAAATTTTGAATGATTATGTTATACTCTTTTCATAAATCAATCATCTAACTAATGACAATAACATGACATAATTAAAAAAAATAATCAGATTATAATTCAATTCAAGTTATCCATTGAACTTTGATCATGACAATCTAATGTTAAGAGCAAGCATAATTGTTTACTATTTAATTTTTTAAAGGACTTAATCGTATAAAACATTACTTTAAAAGTGCATACAACTCAACTCATTTTTCCATTCGGCCTTCATTTCTTCCCTTCTAATTTCATACATCAATAACATTAAGGGAAAAATTTGAATTGAAAGCAAATTAAGTCAAGATTTAGGGTTTAAGTTTAGGGTTTTTTCTACTCTTTACATTAAAGAGGTTTTTCTACATAAAAATTTTCTTGTGTTTTCTTTGAATTGGATGTTATTTTCAACACATTTGCTCAAAATTTTGTTTCTCATAGAATTATTCAAGTAGAAAAGTATTATATTATTGTATACTTTCTTTTCAGTTTTTTGATATTGTATTATTTCCTTGGTTTAAGGTTTAGTGGTTTTTTAAAAGTTTTTACTAGTTTATTGGCAAACAATGGCAAATCTGCGGAGGCCCCTCTTGGGTAAAAATCTTAGGTCCGTCACTGATTACAAGGTAGAGCACAGATTCTGCAAATACAAAGCAATCTCACAAACACTTGTACGTACTAATTCTGAGGTCTCTAAATCTCTTTCATTTTTACTTGCACCGTGCCCAGCAGTGGCTTGGCTGATCGCTGACACCAAGTGTTTAATAAGAAATGTACATAAATATCCAATTTTCACACAAGTTTAATTATTAACCACGAACAGAAGCATATCTATTGATCAAAGCCAAGGCATTGCTAATCATATGAGCGGATTCGAAAACTGGTGGTGAGTAGAAAGGGTGTGGAAGAAGCCAAAGAGTCTTTGAAATCCTCGTAAATTTACAATTTCATCTTACAATATTAGATCCTTATTTATAAAAATAAAATAAAATGAGTGGGGTTAAAAAATCGCTTTCCATTATTTATTCTTTTAAATATTAATGGACAAACAAATTCATTTATATTCTAGTCAAACTAGAAATACTAATATTAATCAAATAATAGCAATTATCACAAATTAAACAAGTCTTACTTTAACAAGAATAAAACAAAATTAGACCCTTAATAAAACCAAATATATATGTTTGACTTAATAGACTTGGATCCTCTGTTCATGTAATTTTACTAATATTTAGAGGTTCTACCATGTGACAATTCTATCACCTGGTTAAAATTTATTCATAAAAAAAACATATCGTTTTTGACGTTTATCCAAACATCAAAATTTAATGAACAGATACATATATTAGAAAATCAAATTGATGAAAAAATATAATCACTGATCCAAGCCATTGAATAATAAATGAACCACGTATCAATGGATCTGTTAAAAAAATGCGAAGTTAGATGAGTAGAGAGGATCTCCCTCTTAGTTTAATACCTAAAAAATATAATATATAACATGATTTAAAAAAAGTGTGTTTAAAATTGATGTAAAAACAAAAAAGATTTAGAAAAATAATGATGTAAACATTATTCATGAACACATCCAATATGCTGCATGAATTTGTTAGCAAGAGTTGGAAACAAGATTAAATGAAAATGCAGTTATACGAAAGTAAGCATTCTCCTTTAAGAAATTGCAAGAAGTAGCATTTGATAATCATAAAAAGTAGCACCTTATTCCTGACACTTGTCTCCATGAGGGGGCCTCCATATTTAGAGCAGAGCTTTGATTCATTTTTTATAATAAGCGAGAACAGAATACACAGTTTGAGCCAAGGTAAATAGCAGCAATAAAACAGCAGCGAAGAAGGAAACGTATGCCCATGGACTGTTAAAATATTTGTGCCGTAAGTGTGCAAATCATTTGTGACGACGTTGGGCACAATGCTTGTTCACATCGAAGAATATACTGAAGTAATAGTTGTCACGGGAGAGCTTGACGAAATCACCAATACTATAGAACATTTTGGCAACTACTTCATCATCGCCTAAACAATTATGAAGAATATTGCACCGACAAAGTAATTCTACATCCCTTTCGGAATTAATGAGGCAATCCATGAATTTCATATAATCACTGATCACAGGTCTGCCATTAAAATTTTCATTTGGAGAGAACTGCTCATAAACAATGAGATTTCGGAAGATAGATTCGGTTTCTCCTGTAATTTCTAATCTTGGGATTTTCATTATTCCGTTTTCAAACTTTATATCAAACAACCTATCATCCAGAGCACTCTCAAACTTGATTCCAGCCTCCTCAAGCTCTGTAGAGCAACGCATGAACTTCAAATAAATGTAGCAACGCATGAGCTTCAAATAAATGTTGCCACGTTTGAACATCCAAAAAATTGCATCGCACCAACGTTTGAACCACCAATTTTCATTGATACAAGGTTTCATTCGATTCTTTGCATAGACCCAACGCCTAAACCTCCAATATTTTTCATTGACGTCAGGTTTGATCCCACGCTCGGGATAACAGCAAAGAAGCCAGTTATCATGCAATAAGCTTAGTAGATGATTGCTTAATTCGGTTGAATTTTCATCCGATTTTTTAGAGACTGGCCATCCGTTGGGCAATACAGAAAAAGCGAAGAAATACAAAATCATATCCTGGAAATTATACTCTTGTTCTCGCTCTTCCGACGTCCTGTTAAACAACTCTTGAAGAACAAAGAAGGGGAGTTGATTTTCAACTAATAACAAGTCGCAGCCCAATTTCTTGGTCATCCAACCCAAAGAAATAAGAGATTCCCTTTCGGGGTCATTGGCACCGTCTCTCTGTCCCGTCACCAGACCCACGCACCTGCGAAGTAGCTCAACGATGAAGCAACCATCAAGGAGCATCATTTCCACAAATTCATCGGTCGTGATATTTGCAAAATCATCTTCATAACAATCCCGAGCTTCTTTTTCCAATGATCTTAAGGTTTTGACATAACTTATCACATCTTTTTCCGGTTTTCGATCGAGAAGCTCTTTCAGATACCGTTTTTTGTGTTCTTCCATCCCCATTAAGTGTTTCTTACCCCGGTGATAAGGACCTATTGCAACTATATACGGTTCATAGGCCTTACCATTCACATTACGTTGATGTTCAGGTACCTTAAATATATAACGATTATGCGATTTTGAAGTTACATCAACTAGCTTTCCTAGAATACGACTAGATAATCGATGATCATATTCATCGGTAAATGAGGGATGACCAGTTTCATTAGCCACCCGTATCTCGATGCCAATTTGACGAGACGAATGACAATCAGCTATTTCATTTGCCATCGCCTTCTATTATTCTATTGTCATTTGGAAGCCAACCAAATTATAAAATTATATCAGAATTATCATGCATTCGATTAAAAATAGCAAGCTAAAACATTAATTAAATAAGAAATGAAAAGTACTACCAAATAAGGATCGAATTTCATGCTGTATGATATAATAATTTTTAACTATTTATTTCTATCTGGAGTTACAAATGAGATATCATGCTCCCAAACATATATAAATTCACAAAAACATAATTACTGCGCAAACCATGTGGCTGAACTAAATGAAAATAAAGTATAAATTGAATAAGTAGTTATAGTCAAATAGGCTTTTGATACGGCAAGTCGAAGCTCCTGCTTTTCTACAAAATTAATTAATTATCTGCATGGTAACGAGTAGTCTAAGCAAAGTGTCAGTTGTCAAAACATATCATGATTGGAGTTTCATTCGTCAAAGTACAAACTTCTTAACATAATAGGTACATTAAAGTAAAATGCGTAAGCACAATTTAGTATTAGTTGTAAAGTAGTAGGGAATTTGACTAGGAAGAGCGACTGCACAATCCTTAATCACCCAATTATTGGTAATTGATGAGATCGATAAAAGTAAGGTTTTAGGGTTTTGATGAGTGATAATCAGAGAAGAGAATGATGGTAGTTTGAGATTGTAACAATTTCAGAATCAACTGACGATTGGATAGTAAACGGAATACAAATTTAAATAATAAAATGATATTTTTAAAACATGATGAGTACAACTTTCAATTATGTTCACATTTTTAGTGGGGAGAGACAAAGTCTCGTCACAAGGTTGAATACAAATAATGGCATGAAATTATAGACAAGTAGAAGAAAACCATTTTCATCATGTTTTATGATAAATTGGATATTACTTCATGTCCACATTGTTTTGTAGTTGATCATTGTTTCATATATTTTATTATTTACATAATATTTGTAGTTGATCATTGTTAACATAATATTTCATATATTTTATTATGTACATTTATTAATATTTGTAGTTGATCATTGTTTTGTAGATGATGAGGTGAATGATGATTCGGATGATGATCTTGATGTGCTATTAACTAATCTCGAGACTGTGGAATCAAGAGACTCTATCGCGCCTACTGTGGGATGAACATTTGCTGTCCTAAGAATATTTTTTGTTGAATATTAGATTATGTATTTGTTTATTTTAGTTAGTATTTATAGTTTATTGACTTATTTTGTTTGTTTATGTATAATTATGTATTAGTGATTTTGTATTTGTTTATTTTGGTTGGTATTTGTAATTTTGTATTATATGTTATTGTTTGTTTATGTGTAATTTGTTTATTTTGGTTCTTATTTTTTTATGTTCTAAATTGAATTGAATTTAGAGTAGTTGATTTAGGGGGTGTAAATGTAAAAAATTAAAACTGCAGGAATTTTGGGGGTGTAACTGTTATAATTGAAAACTGTTATGGGTGAAACTGTAAAAACTAAAATATGGAGAGAGAAAAAACGGGTCCACCCGTACCCGTATAGGGTAGGGCACGGGTCCAATATGTTGGACCTGTATAATTCGATACGTATATAAACCCGAACCCGTTTGACCCAACCCGACCCGTACCCGACACACCCACCCGTTTTGCCAGGTCTACTCCGAACCTCCGATACCAAAAGTCAAGTAAGGTCCTTTGATGGTATCCAATTACCTAAATGCCCTTAAATAAACAAATGTAAAATTAAAAATATAGAAATACCCTCATCACTGAAATGACGAATTTACCCCTGAAATAAAATACTTATTTTTTTTTCTCACAAATTAAATTACTTTCATTTTATTCCCTCGATAAAATAAAATACTTTTTATCTCTTTTTTTTTTTGCCAAAATAAGTTAAAATAAAATACTGATTTTTTTTTTTTCAAAAACTAAATTACTTTTATTTTCTTTCGTTTTATTCCCATATCAAAATAAATTAGTTTTTCCTTTTTGTCTTTGCCAAAATGAAATATCTTATTTTTTTTTTTTTAACCATAATAAGTTACTGTTTTTCCTCCCAAAATAAGCCGCCTTACAAGTTACAAGCCTCTGAAACCTCCCCATACTTGAGAAAATCATGGCTGCCCAAAAAGTCGTCCAATTTTTTTTTCATAAATCAATTAAGAAATGGTTCAAAAGATCGTGGCTGCCGGGTGAAGGAAGAACCCGAAAACCATATTCAAATAAATATAAAACAAAAGTGAATTAAAATAAACCCAGAAAGCCAGATAACATGACCTTAAAAACCATTACCTCCTAGCCCTGAAAACCATCTATCAGACTATCACCGTCTCTCCCATCTTCACAAAGCCTCTATTATCAAGTAAATCCACAGACCCATAAACTCCAAAATTTCGAAAACACAAAACATCAGAAAATGGAAGACTGGCGTAGGGACGTCACGCGCGGTAATACTCCATCACGACAACTGCAACGTGACATCACATTGCCGATCTTCGGCATCCGGGATCCGGCCATACGGTAGATCGGTTGCTTCTGATCGTTCGGGCGTCGGCGGTGACGCCGAAAGTGTGATGGAAAGTGGTCGGCCGGCTCCTTTGACCGGTTAAAAAATTTTAATTTATAATTTTATAAATATTTTGAGTTTTGAAATTTTATATTCAAACGAACATATAAAGTTATATAAGTTAAACAACAAATTGTTTTCTATTCTTTATTATAAACAAAAAAAAATAATTTCATTCGATCAATTTTTAATTCACAAATCAAACATGCCCTAAGTTCATGGTATAACTACAATTAAATATTTAACATATCGCGTGGAAAGGATCAGTCACTTACTTGTTTGAGTATAGCCGCTGCTGGCCGACAAGGTCTAGGAGCTTCCTGGCAAAAACGATTTCCTCGCTGGAAGAAAACGCTGGAGAAATTATGTGACGATCCCTCATTTTATGATTACTAGGAATGATTCTTGACATCAGTTTATGATATTTGGTATTGATTTGATGCAAATTTCAATTATAGCCACATTTTCTCAAATCGGGCGGTATCTACTGCATACCTCGTGAGTTTTCATTTCATTTTCACTTGCACAGAACCCGAAAAGAAATTACATTTCATCAATTAACATAAGAAAACAAAAGTTTTAAAAATGACAAACACCGCTTCCTCTCAATATATAATCAAGTCAACATAATCAATTATCAAGACAAATCAAAGAAATGTNACTGTGGAACATCACCACTCTGTACTACATGAGCAATGTATCCAGAACACCCCTTTCTCAACATCTTTCTCGCCTTTACACTACTAATCAACATACTCAATCGATGGCCCTCTCCAAAACTAAACTTATCTCCATTATCGAGAATAAGTAGAGGTCACGTAGAGTGGGAGTGAGTCCCGGCCGTGCCCCCGGTAAGATGGGGCCGTGACTTATTGGAGAGAGAGTTACTAAAAAGGAGTTCTAAGAGAAAGAGAAAGAGAAGTACCAAAGAGAAATGGTATGAGAAGTTGTAAGGAAAGAATTAGAGAAAGAGTTACGGGGATAGATGAGTAGAGGATTTACTTATTGAGCATTGTTTTAGTGCTCACCCCGTTGTTTTCCTATGTTTTACAGGATCCAGGTGAGGATGCAGTCGGATGGATGTCGACACGCGAGGGGAAGCGGTTACACTGTCCACCATGTTTTAATAGTTTTTGTACACATTATAAGTTTGTGTAAAAATGTATATGTTTGTAAAGAATATATATACATATTTAATAAAAAGAAAATTTTGGGCCCAATTTCTTTATATTATTTCATTTATATTTTATTATGAGATTTTGAGTAGTAGTGGCTATTACAGTTTTGCTGAGTGATAATCGGAGAAGAGAATGATGGTAGTTTGAGGTTGTAACAATTTTAGAATCGGCTGACGATTGGATAGTAAACGGAATACAAATTTGGATAATAAAATGATATTTTTAAAAATCCATGGGTAAAAAAGTGTCATTAAACCATTATTTGGGTGGAAAAAAGTTGTTTACTCATTACAAAACTGACCAACACCCCAAACCCTATAAATTATATCGACTACTACGACACTTCCCCCTTACTTTTATCTTGTTTTTGAAAATAAAGAGTTGGAGCCCTTTTTTATTCTTCAAAGTTCCAAATTTTGATTTCTTATTGGTAACCGAGAATCATAGTTGATTAAATATGAAAATGGTTGAGAAGTGAGTTGTTTGGGGTCATTTAATTAGTATATCATAAAATGGGCAATACTATACTTACAACCTAATCTTACAAACTTTATTTTACAACTCCAACGTAATAATTCACAATTGGTCAGTTCGCAATAAGTCCCGCGACCCATTACAAGCTGATGAATTACGAGCTGCTATATCAGGTCATGAGAGAAAGTTTATAAGATTGAGTTGTGAGTCAATCTTTATTGTATAAATTAACAATATATTTTATTTTACTTATTACTTCTTCTTCTTCCACAACTTAACAATAATCAGAAAATCGACCCGTGCAATGACCTAGCTAGGCCACTTATTGACCATTCCTCTCCAAAAGCCCTAACATTCTAGCCTTCAATTGTTCACGGATTGATATCCTAATTTCTAAAGTTTTGAATGAATAGAAAAATTTGTAACCTGACTCGGTGAAGGCCTTAAGTCCTGGCTGAATCAGTTCAACCGACCAGGTTGGGCTAGGTTCCTAATCACTGCAACTCAATTTCTCTAGCACGTCATCTTTTTCTTAAAACAAAACCCTGGACCTAAAATCAACTAGGAGCACACACAATCCCTAGATCTAGCAAACAAATTGGCAACACACAAGGTGGTAGCAACATCTCCTTGTTGAAGCGTGGCCACAAGAAGGAGTCCCGTTGGCTGCCAGCATTGCTGGGTGTGGCCACCATGCATGGCCATGTTGCAGCTTTGTTGGCAACTTATGGTGGCTGCATTGTGGCCATCCTGGCGGCCTTCTTTGGTTATCGTTACCTACTTCCAATAAGTATTACCAACATTT